CTCAGTCGCGTCTCGGCCATCGTCAAAGAAAGTCGAGATATTTCGCGTCCTAACTTTTGTGACTTGAATTGTAGAACATTTTGTTGGCAAATGGAAATTTGGAAATGTGGATTAGTCCATATATTTGCTGAAGTATTGTAAGTTGCAGTGGTGTTTTCGGGTGTGCTGGATGACATAGACGTTTTGTTTTGCTAGATGAATTGTGTTGCTGTCGAAAATGCGATAAGAGCTTCCTTTGTATTTTTTGCCTGTAATGTACTTACTTCTGCATTCACTAATGACAGAACTAACGAAATGTTCCTTCACATTCCAGAACCTGAAAGATGGCAAATGCAGCCGTAGTTCGATCCCCGACAACAGAACGACTCTATTCCCCGAAGCACAAGAACCCCATTTCGAAGTCGCGAGGTCCAAACGAGAACGCATCATGTATGAGACCTGACAACCTATCAGAGATCCTTAGAGATCGCGCCTTGTCGGGGAAGCCGAGAAATTTTGCCCGCATTTCAGGAAAACCGAGAAGCTTTACCCGCTCCCCGTGGAAGCTGATGAACAATTCGCACACATTATGGTCGAGGAACTACCCCCACCTGCTATGCGGGTCCCATACTTCAGGGGAACCGCAAACCGTCACCGACACGCGAGAAAACTATCGTCACACATCATGGGGACCGAGGGAGTCTACCTCTTCGACATGGGCACGAGGCACGACCCACTCGCCATGGGAGTCCTACACTACAGGGAAACCGAGAAGCTATACCCTTACATCATGGGAGTCGGGTAACTCCACACCAGGGACGCCGGAAAGTCCTACTCTTGTATCGGGGAAACCAAATAGCACCCCTGAGTTAAATCCCCTCAAAACCCCACCGAAGGAAAAAGACCAGCAGAAGGAAGACAGTGCTAACATTCAGGAAATAAGACATCCGTCTAAGAAAAGAAATAGTTTTGGTCATGTAGAAATACACCAAAAGGACAGCATACACCAGGAAAAGAGAGCAGAGCAATCACTGAAAGCAAAAGTTAGACTGGATGCTATGTTTGAAAAGGAAAATCAAAACGGTATATGTAGCAAGGTGTCTGCAGGAACCTCAACGACAAGTATGCTATGTTTGAAAAGGAAAATCAAAACGGTATAGCAAAAGGTCAAGGCAAAAAGGGAAAGTTGTCTCTGCGTAAGATCCCTATTTATGTGAAGTGCTATACATGCGGGAATTTGGTGAAAGATGTTCACTTTGAAGAGCATCTATTTTTTGGGGAGACTGAGTGCACTCAGTGCAACTGGAAGATATCCAGCTGTCAAGCATTTTGCGAAAATAAAATAGACCAAATAATGGGTAACTCAACATGTCTACATACTTTGACGTATTGTATGACGCCTTCAGAGTATATTTCAAACAATTTATCACAAGAATCGCCTCTTGAATTAGACAATAGATTGACGTTATATGTCAGCTCCCTTAAACAGCTGACAGCTTCAGAACCATGGAAAAATGCTATTGTTCAGTGTCAAAATTTTCTGAATGGGGAGAGCTCTGAACCAAGTGGAGCAAATGAAGAGCCTTTTCATGCTTTAGAAACAGAAACTGTCTTGAGTCTTCCAATCGAGACGGTCCCAATAAGTAAACAGGAGATTAAAAACTCTCCTGCATTTGTAAATGACGGTGAGCTAATCCTGTCTCAGTCCTATGATCTTGAACATTTAAATGATATAGTGGAAATTGAAATAGCCAAAGACTCTCCTAAGACGTGGGGAAGATCACCGCTCTTGTTTCCTGAATTCAGTGGAGATGTGAATATGAGTCCTAACAGCCAATCACATCGTCAGATTAACGTTGATACTTGTGGCAATCTCATTAGAGACGCTTTGCAGAGCACAAGTTCATTGGACGTTGCTTCACAAAGCACAAGTTCAAGAGATTTAGCATTGCAAAGCACAGGTTCATGGGACGTTGCTTTGCAAAGGAAAAGTTCATTGGACATTGCTTTGCAGAGCACAAGTTCTAGGGATGTAGTTTTGCAAAGCACAAGTTCAAGGGATGTTGCTTTGCAAAGCACAAGTTCATGGGACGTTGCATCACAAAGCACAAGTTTAAGGGACGTAGCTTTGCAAAGCACAAGTTCAAGTTTGCAAGGGTAGCTTTGCAAAGCACAAGTTCATCGGATGTTGCTTCGCAAAGCACAAGTTCGTCAGACATAGCTAGAATAGCTGGCGGTTTGAATTCAACCCAGTTACAGAAACGCCGCAAGACAAAACCTAAACCTTCAAAACGATCCAAACCCAACCCAGACACTAGCAGTTTACAAGCAAGTAATGCTGCAGAGAAAAAGATCATAGAGACCCCATCAAATGGGCATTACCTCATTGTCCGCCATGCAATTGAAGAATGTCCCATGTGTTATACTGAATTCTGTCCTTCAAGATTTACTGTGAATATAAACACTTTCCTCCTTTCTACTGTGTGTACTGGTTGTGATTTGACCGTTTACATAGTTTTTG